GTAAACAATAGTGCCACGATAGAGGTGTGTGTGTGTGTGTGTGTGTGGTGTGTGTGTGTGTGTGTGTGTGTGTGTGTGCGTGTGTGTGTGTGTGCATAGCATGGATTAGTGGGTGTAAAGTGGTGGTTTTATGCTTGGAGCTAACAGCTATTTATATATCCCCAAACCATTTCGGAGAGGGAGTTTAGCAAAGCAGAGCCCTTCCTCTCCTCAGCCTTATCAACACAACCCTGTCAAAAATAAAGCTTTATCTTGCGCACCATCCAAAAAATATTACTCTTCTTATCTGATTTTCCACTGCAAGATTAATGTCTGACCCCGTTTACTTCTCCAGCTGAGGAGAATGAGCCTGAAAGCTTTTTCCTTCTGCTGTTCATCCCTTTCTTTCTTTCTTTCTTTCTTTCTTTCTTTCTTTCTTTCTTTCTTTCTTTCTTTTTTCTTTCCCTTGTTCACGAGACATTATTATTATTATTATTATTATTATTATTATTATTATTATTATTATTATTATAAAATAAGATAAACTCTGGGTTGTTTGAACAACCGCCTGAAACCAATTTGGACATTGCTATTGTTATTGAATCGTGGGGATATTGACACAAAGTTAGCCCGATGTGGGGAAACAATAATAGAATAACATCTGGTATTCTGAAACACAACCTTTAGGACTGATAAAAAATAAAAAAAAACACATCTCTTTTTTGATGCCGAATAAGCGAACCTCTTGGCTAACTGCTTTGACCTCAGACAATGCGACAAACAATGTGAATCGTTTAATCTCAGCTCCTGTTGAATAGCACCGTTTGGACACATATTGTTGGAGCTATGCTTTATGGTTAAAGTGAGGAAGGGGGGCAGAAAGGAGGGGAAATTAGTCGCCACAGAGGAGCAAAATGATAATTCAGTAAATAAATAATCCGCTTATTGACGTAAACACGTTGGTCTGGGCTGGCACGGCTCCGCCTGGCCCGGTTTCCCCCCTGCCCCCACATCCCAAAAAGGTAATGGGTGAATAACTACGTTACAGATTCCGTCTTTCTCCAAAGGTTCATCCCGAGTTCACCAAATTAATTCAATTTAGCTTGCAGCGCGCGCCTGTCAAAGGTGGCCATGAGTTTTAATAATCTATACCATTTGCGCGTGCATGGCCCAATCCAAACGTCACACGTGGACATAACTTTCTTTACGTATGTCTTTTTATCTATATATACAGATAAGAACCTGTAGAGTGCTGTTCACTAAAAGCGTGATGTAAAAAGAAACAATAATACACATCTGTTTCTGTAACAGGCATGATAAAATGTGCAAATATGCTGAAAGTAATAGTAGTGAAATGAGTAGGGAGAAGTGTGGACATATGGCTGCAGTTAACTCGATAAAAATCCATCGCCGGGTTGCAGAGAGTCGAATAACATCAATATAAATCCACCTGATACCTCTGTGTCTGATCTCCAAGCGGCTCAAAGCCTGTTAAGCGCACTGAAAACGATTGTTTATACGAACTAAGCTGCAATACAACACACTTGTTTCTACGAAATATTCGTGTACAAGACTCTGCAGTGATGGTGCGGTTGTGCTGGGGGTTCACATGTCAGCGAGCACGGCGGTGTCATTTATATTTATACAACAAAAGGAAAGGGAGAAATGATCCTGGAAGAAAAGAAAAAATCTGTGCGTGAGAGGGAGAAAGAAAAAGACCCCCCCTCTCCCTTCACATATACCATTTTTCTTCAAAGTAATGACTCCAACTCAATTTAGTATGACGGAGAGAGAGAGAGGAAAGGGTAAAGAACAAAATGACAGAAAGAGGGGATGAGTGGGAGAGAGAGGTGGAAATGGCAGAAAGAAAGGGTGTGGAAAAGGGAGGGGGATAAGGGAGGAAGAGAGAGAGGGAGAGAGAGAGAGAGAGAGGGGGGGGCTTGGCTGTGCTCGGGGTGAACGGGAGGTCAGCGCGTCTCACCAATATTAAAATGTGTACCGGGGACGCGGGGTGACACGCCTCGCCCGTTAAACAAAGAGTGTGCCAAACTGGCAGATTAATTTGAAAACTTGAGTCCATGCACACACACACAACACTTAATGCCTTAAAGAGCCCACAGTCTCCACAGCAGCCCTGCTCGGTCTCCCTCAGCCCCAAACCGCTCGCTGTAACACGGGGAAACACGGGGAACGGCCACCGGTGAAGGGGTTTTCCTCTTATCATTTAACAGCGATTTGGTCGGGCTTTTACGCACAGAGCGCACGGTGCTGGTGTCGCGACATTACGGTGTCGTGTTGCTTTGGTTTTCGCTGGATTATCCCATTTAAATTTGTTCCAACCACACAGTATTATTGCGTTCATTTAAACGCGGAGTCTGTGCGGTTTGGTTCGGATACAGTCGTGTTTACGGAGACCGGAGTGTGTGCGTCTCTGCGCGCGTGTGCCTGCCTGCGAGCGTGCGTGCATGTGAGCGGGGGTGTCCGCGGAAATGACAGCGACTTTTTTTCCCTTTTTTTTAAGATACCACGAAGAATCCCGAAGAGGTCAAAAAACCTGTGGCGTCGGAAGAAGAGAGAGAGAGAGAGAGAGAGAAGAGAGAGAGAGAACTGAGGTGTGAATGCCGAAGTAGGAAGGCATCTCTTCATGGAGAAAAAAGGAAAAAGACTGGAGCACGGCTGCCGGTTTGTTGGAGATGTACAGAAGAAAAACAGAAAAAGGAGAAGAAAATGTAATGATAATAACACCAGTTGAAATCGAAGTGACGACGATGCCAGTAAGGAGAGGCGGATCCGTGAGCTACAGAGGAGTGAGTACACAAAAAATAGAAATCGCCTCGTAGAAGAGGAAGCTGCCTCATTTGCATATCGCTGTGTGTGTGTGTGTGTGTGTGTGTGTGTGTGTGTGTGTGTGTGTGTGTGTGTGTGTGCCCGCTCTCCTGCTACTACCGTGTGTGTATGTGGCAGGTGCTTTGCCCATGCTGGGAGGAAGGGGGGAGACCACGTGTTGCAGGAGCTGCCGCAGAACCCCCTCCTCACCATCCTCTCCTTAGACACTTGAGTTTATAATGACTTTATAATCAATTCATATTTTTGATCGATTAGAGGCTGTGCACGTCACGCCGTGGGTATTTGAGCTGTGTGTTTCCTTTTCGCAAGCTCCATTTCCTTCACTGTACCTTCCCTATCATGCTGGTTAATTAGTTAGCCTAATTAAGTCACTTGGGGCTGTGTGACTTCAGGGTGCACGACAGACATTTGGGCAATAATTTAGGTTTTGCAAGAACCCCATTTTTCTCCTCTTGTCAACCAGACACTAGGTTATAATTCAAGTATCGATGAATATAGCATCAGATAGATAGATAGATAGATAGATAGATAGATAGATAGATAGATAGATAGATAGATAGATAGATGGATACTTTGTTATTAACCTCCCCAGGCCTATGCAACCCCCACCACACACACACACACACACACACACACACACACACACACACACACACACACCAATAGCCCTATGCCTACCGAGGGTGAAGGCGAGGTCGTGGCCAGTGGAAGGTTAAAGGTCAGGCTGGACAACTTTCTCCCCCTATAGGCCTATCCTGAATCACAGTTTTACAGTCTTCTATAGATGATTTAATGCAGAATAGCGAATAGCTCCATTGCTAACGAATGTTTGTGCTGCCTTCAAAATGCCTTAAATAGTAACAGGAATTCTTTGGTTATGTCCCACATGGGGAATAATTGTTCTGAAGAAATAAATAGAGTGAGTATGAATGAACTGAGATTTTTTGCACAATGGTTTTGACTCAGCGTGAGCTTTTGCTGCGGTTTTATCAGTTTCCATCCAGATGTGTGGTTTTCTGCTGTTGATGTACGAGCACATGGCGTATCAACGTGTTGGCAACATGAGCCTGCAGAAAGCGGCAGCGGTCTCAGCTGTTTATTTTCCTCTGCTGATTGCTAATGTGCTGTTTCTTTGATTATAAGGTGGCTGTGGAATAAAATGCTCCGATTCTGCAGGGAGCATTTGTTTCTTTTCATCGTTTGTGCTCCTCCATCAAACAACAAACGCTGTGCGCTAATACTGCACACACCCAGTTCGCCAACCAGTTCAAATAGTTCATTTTTCAGGATGTTTATATGCGTTTACTTCGCATCAACAATGTATGCATAGATGTGTCTTTCTGTCTTTCGTCTATTTTAATGCATGTTTGCAATTTGGTTTTATATTCCCCTGTTATGTAAAAAGACAGGGCCTTTCTATGTTCAGCTTGCAGTGCAGTGGAAATGTGAAAATGTGTTTCTCCCTTTGGATGCTACTGAACACAGACAAGACGCAGCACTATTTCTCTGGTCATTTTGCTGCCAGCTCTTGAATTTCCACCCGATGTTTATATTTTTTGCTCAGCCCGCTGCAGGCTGCTTGTCCGCCTTCTGCATTGTGAGATGAATTTAATCTGAAAGCCGAGCTTCTAACCTCCGCACAATAGACATCCCAGAAAACACCTTTAGATTAATACTTGCCACACGGAGGGACAGGCCTCCGCTGCACTTCATTTTTTCTCCCTCTGTCCAATACTTTGCATGACAATAACCAGGGGAATGGACCTCGGTTTATTTTTCAAACTGCACAAAGGAACAGAGCCACATTTCTTTTCTTCGTCGTTGTCCCTGTAGCTTTTTCACCTCGGTAATATTTCAGAACATTGACAACCCCGGTCGCTGCACATAATGAGGCCGTTTAACCCTTCAATATGTTCATTTTAATTCTCTCATTGTGGCTTTATACAATTTAAGGCCTGCCACTGAAAAAAAAACCCCTCTGTGTCTTTTTTAATGTTTCAGGCTAAGTTTAAAAGAAAGGATGAACACAAAATGACTTAATGCGGCCATTCTGTTGGCAGCTGATAATGTCTTTTAGCATAAGCTATTTACGAATCTGCAAGAGCCTTTTAGTTTTAAATCTCACAATTTATCCCTTCATTATGAACCCACCCCGGGGTTTACAGAGGTCTTACCTTAATACTTGTTAAAATGAATCCATCTCAGAGAAAAACGTTTAATTCCAATATGTAGTAGAAGCAGAAGCAGGGAGCGGTAGTTTTTTCAGCAGCTTTGCCAACAACAACTGAGTTTGTGAGCCGCTGATGGGACAAACTTGTTAGAAAGGTCGTAAATTGTTAGGGGGACTTAAAAGTTATTTATTCACCCTGGCTCTCTTCCGCTCCCTGAATATTTTATTGCTTTTTATTTCACCCCCCTCCATTTCAAACACCTTTCAACCTCCAGGAAGTTACCGTTTGAGGCTGTTGGTGTTTGAGCTGTAAACGGAATTGACCCGCAATAAAAGTCACATGTTTAAATCCCGATCCGCTGACCTTTTCCACCCAGTGCATCCCGCTGTATGTCACCCTCTCTCTGCCTTCAGTGAAACATGTCCTAATATTACATCTTAATGTTGGAGCAGAGAGAGGCCGTATTTTTATTTTTAACTCTGGAGCAGCTGACTGCACTTTACTCCTCCTGCATGTGTTTGTGTGTGGTTTGAAAACTAGACAGGCTGGTTTTTCAGGAGTGGTGCCACAGCTAGTGAAGTGGTCCTTAGCTCCCTGACATGTTAGAATTTATGATTTTTAAATAAACTAAACGCCAAAATGAAGGATTCTGTTTATTTTGCGTGTTTCAAAGACACATTTTTTTTAACAAACTAGTGAATGCATTTAGAGGAATATCGAGCTGCTGCTTTTAGTGGTATTATGATGTCTTTCTTGTTTTGTTGATATTACATTACACTGTGTCTGGAACCTATAAAGCTGTTTGGTGTTTTTCTGTCCTTATATGCTCAGTATGCCTGAGTACGTGTTGGTCTTTGGTTAACACATTGACCTCTACCTGTAGCCGGATACAATAGGCTCCCGTCCATCTGAATGGCTGCTGCTGACAAACTTGACAGAGGGAAGGGAAGTGCCGCAGTCAGACTCAACACACCTTGATCGATACCTGAGATGACCCGCAGCAGAGCGGGAGGTCAAGGTGACAGAAATAGCCCACACCTGCGAATAGCATAGAATAGAGACCACACTGGTTTTTACTTTGACTAAACACTAAAACAAGCTAAGCATATGAATAGAGAGAAAGAAAGAAAAAAAACTATGCAGAAAAGAGATAGAAGCTGCAGGTTAGAGGCAGGTTGACAGTGCGTCTCCCTCTTGTGAAGAGTCTGCTCTATGCTTTTGTTGTCCAGTGTGGTGATGTATGAGCAACTTTTGGAGGAAACAGAGAACAGAAATATTGCCTGCAGCAGGGAGGGAGTGTCGGTGTCACAAAATCAATGTGGGAGCAGCACAGGAGCAGATAGAAATTACATGGAAAAACACATTCATACGTGAGCTTCTAAATGCATCAGAGTACTACCATTCTCATATATTAATATGAATTTTATTAATTTTTTTCATTTTTGCACTGAAATGATCTAGTTTCCGCCATATGAATGTGATATGATATGTACCAAAATAACATCTCAAATGTTTTAAGCTGGTTTAAATGCATTTAAATCACTGAGGACTTTTTATGCTTTGTTTTAATTGTGACCTATCTAATAGATAGATAGATAGATAGATAGATAGATAGATAGATAGATAGATAGATAGATAGATAGATAGATGGATAGAAAAGAAAGAAAAGAAAGAAAAGAACGATTATAGAGTGCAGGCCCTTGTGTGTGTGGGTAGGATCACTTTTTAATTCAGTTAAATCAGAGTTTTGGAGACAGACTGCAATTCATTTACCATAGTGAAGGGACATTTATTCATTTATTCATTGGTCCATCCATTCTTCAGTCAGATCATTCAGAACATTTTTTGATAGGACCGTGTTTCCCGGTGCCAAGCGATTTGTCTTTTCTTTCATTAAATTGTGTTCATTCTGTTAGAACGGTGCATGCTTGGAGCTGCCAAGTTTTTTTTTCCTGTTCTTTTGCTTTAGGATAATTACAACTATACTTTTAGTTCGGTTTTGTGTGGTTGTTACGTGGATGAAGAGCTTTATATTATATTTAGAATTTGAATAAAACATTCGTTTTAAATGGAGTTGTGAGAAACTAATTGACCAAGGAAATATTCAGATATATAAAAAGGAGATACAAAAACCTTTGTCATGTATAGGCCTAATCTCTCCGTTACAGTAAAATAATCGTATGTGACTATACAGGATAGAAATAATATTATTTTATATCATAAATAATATTTCAACAATTCACGGGGCGTAATATTACTCTATGTATTTCTACTCTCGTTCTTCGTTGTAACAGCGTGAAAAACACCGATTAGCAATGATTAATTCAATACACAGTCCATTAAAATAAAGAGAACAGGCCTTTAATTTTATGTTTAAGATTTATTTCTGATTTTACCATTTAAACCTGCATATGGAAACACAATTGAAACGGGTCTGTATTGCAGCTTCGACCTCGACTTCTCGCCTCCATATTTCCATCACTTTCTAGAGATTTTTATTTTTATTTTATTTAGCCTCCTTGTTTTATTTGCGAGTTAGCGTCAGCCTTGACGTACAGGAAGTGTTACAACATTATAACTTCATTTCCCAGATCCCCACCAGCCGTGAGGAGGTCAGGGGTCAGAGACAGTACAGATGGATGAAAATATTCCAGTGTGGCTGCGACAGGGAGTTTATGAAAGCAATAAAAGCCTATCGACGGTGTAACCTTGTGCCTCCAGAGAGCCGCTGTCTTCTATATCTACCCTGTAGATCCGGATTTGTGTAAAAATCATTAAAACAATCACAAATTCGCTTCTAGGGGAGTATATAGTGGATTTATACACTACGACAACGATGGAACCAACACTGAGGAGAGGCCTTTAGCTGCTGTTATTGGCTTTTAACGCCTTTATTCATCATGGATCGCTGCTTTCTATTTACATTTGTAAAAGTGCAGTTGTGAAGGTTGAAAGAATATGTCTCCTCCATGAATTTTTATTTCATTTCAGCATGTAGACATACGACCATTTATTTATTTCAGGAAATTTATTGGTAGTTATTTGATGTCCGCTCCTGTGTGGATCAAGCACCGTGCTGTGGGTCTGTTCTCCTCCAAAGTGAAGAAAACTCAATCCAACTTTTGTACATTTTTTTTCGATCATGAAACCTCCTCTCAGTTTTAAAGGCCAACTCCAGGTTGAATTGGACTCTTTTTATTTATTATTTGTCTTGTTGAAAAATGATGCGGTCGACTTTACTGTTAGGAGGGCGTATCGGGGGTTGGGTGTGTGTGTGTGTGGGGGGGGGGAGCTAAGGTTTCGATTTAGAGACGGTCAATTTTCTCGAAACAAAGGACTTGGATATCTCCATCATCTTGCCTGTGTGTCTATGTGTACGCGCACTTTTACTCCCACTGATAACACTACCGAAAGTGCACAAGAGACTCATTTTGATTGGGAAAACATCTATTCTATTCCATCCACTTCAGTGGTTATTGTTTTGTAGCATATTTTATGTATTTGTGGTTTTTGTATGTCTTGTTTTGGTGCAATTAAACGCACGCAGACATTACAGCAAGCAGATTTAGTGGAATTGAAGAGAGTTACAGTTTTTCTGTAAAACAAAAAAAAAAGGGCATTATTATTCTTTACAATGCAGTGCGCTGTCTAGTTTCTGTGCGTCATGACTCTGCGTAATACAGGTTTGAGTCCTTGTTTTTAGGTGTTTTGTGTCTGTTTTATAGCAGTAAGAAAGTGACAGCAGCAGAGAGTGAGTCTGTGTCTTACTGTAATGTGTTAATATTGGGAATGGTGGAAAAAAAAGCAATGGAGGTCTGTGGCAGCTAGTGTGTGAGCGGGTCACGGTTGGGGAGATGAATTCCCTTTAGGAGGAAAAACAAAGAGCTGTGTATCTCAGTTCAGTAATGCACAGCTCAAGGGCAAAAGCAGCCGCACAATCTGGATGGGGCATATGGACTTGCCATGCCAGTGATGTTAATATCGGAAAATGGAGGGAAATAAATCCTGTTTATTCATGCAAGGCAAAAGGCGACCCTGGGTGAGGCTGAATTACCATGCACGGGGAGTTAAATGTGGAACAGGCGCCTGTTGGAGGCATCACAGGTTTTAAAAGAGGGAAACGGTGGTGGATTCTCGTCCCTAATGCAAAGGTCTGCTAGTGATTTAGGAGGCCGTGTAACCTGAATTAGTTGATGAATTTTCTATCGATCCTAAACAAGCCAGATTTATCTCTGACAGGGTGCTGCTGTTGGGTGGCGGCGCAGCAGCCGGCCAGGCCACTCTCCCACTCCCCGTTATTAGCGATTTAAAAAGAACACACACACACACACACAAAAAAAAAGAAAAAAGCTTTGGCAAGCACGTCCTTACACACACCCAAATATATACACAGAGGGTGGTGCAGGCGCCACTTTAAATCCCCCCAAGCGCTTTCTTTCTGCTGCTTCTTTTTTCTTTCTCTTTTCTATTTGAAGTTGCAGCCAGATGCGTAACAGGGGAAAGGGTTGGTTTGCAATAAGGGAGGACTTCATCTGTACTGTAACTCTGTTGCTCGCGTGTGTCCGCGCGCGCGCTTACCGGAGCGGCTACAGCTGGAGCGGAATGTATTTTCAGCGTGTCAGTCGCGCTTTGTTATTGTTGTGATTCTCTGCCTGCTTAGGACGGCATGCGTGCCGACGTGTGGTGGAGAGATATATAGAAAGAACGGAGCATAAAGGGAGGGAGAGGGGAAAGTATTGTGAATGCCCACAAACTGAGGCCATATGATGATGCGCGTGCGGGGGCCGTGTATATGCTTAATCCCATTTCCTTATCCGGGGTCCGTCCTGGAGGCGCGCCATTGGCCGGCTGCCGTCACGTGGCTTCTTAACTTTGTTCACTTGACAGAAAAGTAGGAGGGTTCAACGGAACAGGAATAACCGAAGAGTAAAGGGATGAGATATAAATTTTAGTTATATATTTTCCGAGTAGGTGCAATTCCACAAAAAGACTGAAATTAATGGCCATGAGCTCCTATTTGATCAACTCCAACTATGTGGACCCGAAGTTCCCACCGTGCGAGGAATACTCACAGAGCGACTATCTGCCCAGCCACTCTCCGGACTATTACAGCTCCCAGAGGCAGGAGCCTGCTGCCTTTCAACCGGACTCTCACTACCACCACCATCAACACCACCCGCACCACCAGCAGCGAGCCGAGCCGCCGTTCACGCCGTGTCAGCGTGCAGGGCAGCCCGCTTCGGTGGTGATGTCCCCTCGGGGTCACGTCCTCCCCCCGCCCGGGCTGCAGACCACCCCCGTCCCGGAGCAGAGCCACCGCTGCGAGTCGGTGACACCCAGCCCGCCTCCGCCTCCGTCTTGCGGTCAAACGCCCCACAGCCAAAGCACTTCGTCCCCGGCAAGCACTCGTAAGGACCCCGTAGTCTACCCGTGGATGAAGAAAGTCCATGTAAACATCGGTAAGTGCTGCATGCAAACTTCTTTCTCTCTCCCCCCCTCTCTCTCTCTCTTCGCTGCGCCTTTGTGCCTGCAGTTGAAACCCATGCAGTCAGCTAGGTGTCCACCGTCCAAATCTACGGCTTCCCCTCCCTGTTTTCTGTTAGAAGTAGAAGAGTAGCCCTTGGGTCAAGATTTACGATCGTCTGTTTGCAGGGCCAATATAATTACACCCTCCATAAATTTTTATTACACCTCTCCGCTGAGGTGCCTTTTGAAGTCCGATCTCAGGCTCGTCTGCTCTAATTCCTCGCCTTATGACAACTCCGACCGAGCCCATAAGTTAGCTTTTATGCTTTGGTAATTTGATTTTAAGTGGTTGGGTTGTATAAACGGTGTACTTTACTCTGTCGAGCCTTCCTTCCCCACTCGTTGTTCCAGGGGAGGGAAAGTTTTATGGCAGCTGAAATATTCATGTTTATGGAACCGGTCGTAAAACACTAATGTAAAACCGAATAGCTCCAGTCTATTATGGCTCCTCTGTAATGTTATAATAGACTTGCAGCCTATTGCGTATTGGGATAACGGGAGCGCATGTTCGCGCAGCGACAAAATGCCACTTTTGCAAAGTCACCGTAATACATTCACTCCAGCGGGCTGTTTACTCGGTAAGAAAAATCTTTCCTGCATTTCCCCCCCTTATTTTAGCTGTCATATCTTAGGGAGACACCAGGCTCCAGTGCAGCATGTTTGGTTGCTGCTCTCCGGTTGTAGTTTTGGAGATTTGTTGAATCATTACCCAGTCGGCCATTCAGTGCCGTCGTGTAGCTGCTGCACCCCCCTCCACCACCTTTATTCTCAACCACTTTATGCAAGACAGACAATGCTACCATCCGTCCACGGTATCTGCAAGACCACTGAAAGAAAATGGAACTGCTCGTTTGGCTCCTCTTGCTGTTTTTATGTTCTGCTCGTGCGTGCACAAACGTGTCAGAACAGCAGCAGTTTCTCAACCTTTAAATGCGGCCGTGGCCCCGATTTGCTCTCAAATCACAACATTTGGACACCAGCGTCAGGCTGGCTGTGCTGGGAGGATTCACACCGCCGCAGGGCCTAAAATGACACCTGACAACATGTGTTCACTGAAAATGCAGAGAAAATAAACAACATTTGAAAGCACAGGGGGAAAAAAAGATTTTTCATAGAATAAAAGAGGGTTGGAATTGTTAAAGGGTCTGCAAGGTTACATCCATTTTGTATTCTATCATAGTGGGTCCAACCGCGGTGGCCATGGCTTTATTTCTCTTCGATGCATGCTCATAATGCACTGACATTTTGTTTCTCCCTGTGTGTTGTTGTGCTGTTTTCAGGTTACCACCAGACTACAGTGTTGTGTCCTATTTAATTAGCCCTCAATATTAGATATATATTTAAAAATCTACATGTAGGCTATTTTTAGTCCAAGCCAATATTGTATTATTATTATTATTATTATTATTGTTACATATTTGCACATAGATAATGTATTGTGGTTGTTGTGTTTTTGTTTTCTTTTTGGTTAATGTTTATTTATTCCCATTGTCCCACAGTGAGTACAAACTACACAGGGGGTGAGCCGAAGCGTTCGCGGACGGCCTACACGCGCCAGCAGGTTCTGGAGCTCGAGAAGGAGTTTCACTACAACCGGTACCTGACGCGCAGGCGCAGGGTGGAGATCGCGCACACCCTATGCCTGTCAGAGCGGCAGATCAAGATCTGGTTCCAAAACCGGAGGATGAAATGGAAGAAGGACCACAAGCTGCCCAACACCAAGGTCCGCTCCGGGACAAATAACACAAACTCCCAGTCTGTAACCGGCTCCCAGAACCGCACCGGACCTCTATAGCCCGGTTCTCTGACTCTTTGTCTGATTTTGCCCTCCCTTTCTTTCCCTGATTCCCAAACTGACAAGCGGCAGCCATGCTTGTAACCACCCGGAGCCTGCACTTTGGACCGGAATAACGCCTCTGCTCTGGAGGGAAGGAGGGATGTCATTCGGTCCCGTTCGGCCCTGATCTGTGCTGATGTTACACACTATAATATGACGTTATGACGTGGGAGGGGGTGGAGGGGGAGATTTCCCATTCATAAGAAATGAAATGAACAAAAGTAGGCGAAGAAGGAGACTGAAAGAACTGAGAAAATGATGCGGCCGCTTCTTTGCTTTTATCCTCCCATTCTCTCTCTCACTCACTCTCTCTCTCTCTCTGCTCTTTATATTTCTTGTCTTTTTATACTCCTCTCTCTCTTCCTCTCTGTGACAGAGCATAAGACGGTATAGGCCGAGGATAATGTGCCCGAGTGCGTGTGGGTTCTTTCCTTCATTTTTTTCTATCCGAGACTTTTTTTTGGTGAAGATGGATCCTCGTTTTCATCTTTAATCATGCCAAACTCGGGCCCCATTTGTCATGTTTACTCTGCGGGTACAAAGCAAAGGGGTGAACCGCCGCTCTGCCCATTACCCCCCTGCACCCCTCACCCTCCCACCCCACTCACTCACGCACACACGCACGTGTAATAAATGGAACTCTCGTCAAGAGAAGTATTCTCACACACACATACAAAAACCACACACACCCCTCTATAGTACTCTAACATCAAATATAACCTCCAGTATGATCCAAAATGACACCAGACAGGTTTCTGTCTTGTTGTTATAATTATAACTGTTGGTATTTCTGTTTTGTTTAATGACAAAATATAGCTTTTTAAATTTTAATTATAGTTATTTTTGAATTCAGTGTTAATTGTAAAATGATACTTTATGCTGTTATTGCTGAGAATGACAAGGAGCGTTTATGTGGTCCGTTGATTGTTAATTTTGTGATGTTGTATACAGGGAAACAGACTGACAGGGTGATTAAAGTGAAATAAAGTTAAATTAAGGCATTTTCCACTACATACAGGGTTTATAAAGCTGCCTGAACAAAGGACACTAATAACTAAACCAAAATCCTGGTACAAATAGTTCAAGAACACAGTATAAACGCAGCACTATACAATGTACTACCTATTACCTCAGTTGTACTGATATATATTTTTATTTTTTTGGTCATCTTATTTTCTCTCTTGCTCGTTTAATGAAGTGACAGCTTTTCGAGCTTTTATATTTTTGAAATTGTGTGACGAGTTATTATAATAATTATTATTACCTGCAATACAAAAAAGCGCTACTCATTTCTTGTATTTGGAAAATTTAAAAAATGTAATTTAATCATAAGCAATTGTTCTGGCCAGGGACATTCAGAAAAAATAAGGAGCCTTTTTTATTGCATGTCTGAATGGTGTTGATTTATTTTTCTATCTTTTCCTCTTTGTCTCTCTCCTCTCTCCGCACATTAAATGCGCGCACACTTCTTTTTTTCCTCTTTACTTCTCCTCCTCTTCTCTCTGTTCTGTCACCTTGTGCCACTTTTTAGATATTTTATTCCGCAAGTGTTTTTTTTAATTAATGTTATTTTATTTACATTCCAAAGATCCGTTTCTATCGTTATTGATGATGATAATAACAATGATGCTATTGTTGAACATGTGTTACCTCCTCCGATATGTAAGTTGCTCCTTCCTCTTCTTATGCCTCCTTGGTGTCTACCTTCCTATTATTTGTAAATAGTTCATAGAAATTTAAATAAATGGCTAAAAAAGTATCGTTTTCTATCCTTTTCTCTCTCATTTCCTCTCTCTAAATGATTTAAGTTAAACTACAATGTCTAGCCTGCTGATAGAGGTTTGGAGTTTTAGCAGCCTTCATAAAATCGTCCAGTTATAATTCATAATTAAGTTTTTAAGTGTTTTCTGTTTAACTTAAGATTTCTTTCTCATTTTTGTTTTATAATATAACCATTTCCCTTTGCTTCCACAGCAGGTCTGAAAGAGGAGAAACATTGCCTCCTCTCACCCAGGTTTAACGATGGAGGATGTATTTAAAGCATACATTCACACGCTTCCATGTGCGCACACACAATAAATAATTTCATTTAATTTCACTGTTGGTTTTGCCTACAAACGCACAGCGACCTGTCTTGAGAAATCAGCAGCCTGCGATGATTAATCTGTCCCGGCCGTGAGTGATCTTGGTACATTACGTCCTGTAATCTCGTTTTAAATCACAAACCGTCCCTCCGTTTCACTCTCGTTCTCCCGTTAATTTAACGGCTGCTCAGACGCGCTTGCACCGGCCCGACACAGAGTATGGGACAGCCCCCCCACCCCCCCCACCCCACCCCTTCCTCCTCTGGTTCTGAAGGGAAAAAAAGCATTAAATAGTTTCTCGGTTCGTGGTCTTTTAATGCTTTAATGAGTGTAATTTTTGCACAACAGTTTTTTTCCTCCTATCGGTGTTTTCTGGAGCGGTGCGGTGCGCGCATGTGTGTTTTATTTTTTATATATTACAAAAAGGGAGCGGGCCGGCGCCATAGCTCAAACCCTGACAACCAAATAGATAATCAACAAGACGAATGGCTTCTTTTGTAAGGCGCGGCTCCCGTATTAATTTTCATTTTCTTTTCTTAGAGCAGGTATCGAAAAATATAGAGCAAGAGGGGGGAGAACGAGAAAATAGCATTCCTCTCGATGAACTTTAAACAAAAAAAGTGTGCCCCCCAAATTGGTCCGCTCGTATTCCTCGGCCCAGAGAAGATTCCCTATTACTTGTTGGTTGATTTCTCCCTGGGCCTCTTGCCACAGAGACTCCCTCTGCCCATTTATCTGTTTTCTTCCTGTTTATGAAAGGCTCCCCCAGCGCTAAAACCGCCCTCCTATCAAACCGTGCACCTAGATGTGCTCAAACACACACACACACACACTGCGCCAAAATGGTAAAGCCTTACATACGTGTTGGTGTTTGTAAACCTGCTTTTTACTGTTTCAGTCCTGCAGAAATCAACTGAACCGATTTATTTTATTTTTTCAGTATTAACAACTCAGCTTCAAATTGACTAGAGCGCGTGTTCGCTCCAGTTTAACGCTTTTCCAGAATGTGCATTCATTTCCAGTAGCTGAAAACGAGCCACACGCACACATTTATTTTATTCTTATATGGTGAAAGCTATAAGGTTTAATACCCCCTCCTCCACACATATACACTATCCCTCAGGCGGTGTACTTCTCCTCACATAAGATAATATTTGTGTCCGAATGCTGTAATTTTCGTTACACACCAATTGCCCTATATTGGAGCATCCAACCAAGCACCCCCTCCCAATATTCACTCACATGCACACCCACATGTGCCTCCACAATAACCCCTAAAGCCCCTGAGCACTTGCAGTCCAAGTTGAAATAAATGAATTTGCGTGCGGGGTGACACCACGCACAATAAAATCCACCAAGGAATCCTTATTCTTTTTTCAGCCTCCTTTATCAGCGGGGCCTTCTGCTGCTTCTGTGAATGGGAGCAGATTTTTGTGAGGATGCCCACCCCCCTTACCCACCCCTCTAAAAAACTTCACCGCCATTATTTTCTGGACAGGACAGAGGGGACGGCACCTCAAGAAAAATGCGAGAATTATACAAGAAAAAATCATTAATCACTTGTTCTTCTTTAAACACTTCTTCTTCTTCTCTATTGTCATCCGGCAGCCACACACAAGACCCCTTCTGCCAGGAGAGAGAGAGAGAGAAAGAGAGAGGGCAAAGAACAGAGAGACAGACAGAGGAGGAGAAAAAGAAGATGTCTTGGAAGACACTTGGAAGACACCCCCCTCCTCCCTCCCTTCCCCACACACACACACATAAACACTTATACATACACCTCCCCTTCCCACCCATCAGCAAGCTATTTTTTACACCCCACAAGTATCCTACCATAAGAAAAAAAAAAAACTTTTTTCCTTCTCAATGGAAAGAAGAAAACCCTTCCAAAGAAACTCCAACAAACCAGTCAGAGCCCTCACTGCGCAGAAGAAGATGGCCCAGAGGTCGCTGAAAGTGGTGGCGTCTAAGGTAAGAAGCCTGGGAACTTAATTTTGTCTCTCCTTTTCTTGTCTTTGGCTCTCTCGCTCCTCTGTGTCTGATGGCTCTGTGGCGTTTTTATGGTTTTATTGCCCCCTGCACATTTGGCGAGGTCAGGCGGAGGGGGCATTTCTAGGCCGTGGGGGCTTTGATTTTAGCACAGGGACTTTTGGAGTTGCGTGTTTGTGTTGGAAAGTGTGTGTGTGTGTGTGTGTGTGTGTGTGTGTGTGTGTGTGTGTGTGTGTGTTTGAATGCAGCATATACAGCCACAGATGAAGGGCTTGTGTTGTGCTGTTGTCTCCTTAGTTTGTGCAACTGTTTCCGTCCCCCTTTGCTGTAGTGGTGTCACTTCTGCGTCTGTTTGTCACTCACGAGGCCTGCCGCTTCTTGAGCATCTGTTGTGAAATGTGCTATTGTGCGTCTTTTACGCACGGGATTTGACTGTGTAGTTATGCTGAAACTGTGTATTTATTTTATGATTTGTCGGATTCAGCTGAAGGTGTATTTTCGATGTATAGGGCCTATATGATGCACTTGGACTACAACCTTAACGCAGTCGCCTATGCATTCTCATATCGAGGAAAATTCAGAAATGTTCTAGCTAATGTTTGACAGAATGGCCCACGTGAATAATTCCTGGTTCACCCAGAGCTTATTATGCATTTTGTCTTGGCTGCGTTTCTGTGGTTATAAAGTGTTGTGTGGTTTAGGCCTATAGCTTTTAATGAGATACTGTTGAATGTGTGTGTGTGTGTGTGTGTGTGTGTGTGTGTGTGTGTGTGTGTGTGTGTGTGTGTGTGTGTTTTGTCGGCCAGGTGCAAACAGGCTATGGAGACTGCAGCAGGAATATGAATAATACGGCGCTCAATTGGAGAGAGGGATGCAGGGGGAGGAGGGAAGGTGAAAAAGAAAAATTAAAAGAACTAGGGGGAGCGCTGGTTAATGGATACTCTCTCGGTTGCGCTCCAAAACAATTTACCTCGAAAACAAACGATCGGCAAGGCTTTCCAAATGAACTGCGAACGATCGCCGGCCGCCGTGCGCGCTCAGGCCTCCGGTATCTGCTGAGCCGAGCAGTAGCGGCCTCAAGAAGCACACTCACTCCTGTTTGACCCCTTCAGAAATCAATCTGCCCGGGATTCAAAATAACAGGCCAGCAGGTTCAGGTGGAGGGGCTCCGGCCTCTCATGGGGACGCAGGCTATGGCGTGATGCGATGCGTGGAGAAGTAAGAGAAACAAATGAGAGAAATATAAGTGGTGGGTATCGAAGGAAAGGCAGAGAGAAAGAGGGGGGGAAAAAAATCGATGGTCATGCAGGGGCAGCGGAATGGCCAAGCTGCGGCCACAGAGGGTTCAACCAGGGGACACGTTTTTCTGACCGATGAGGTCCACTGGCTCTGAAGCCAGAGGCTGACCCGTGGTTACCCCCCCCCTACACACACACACACACACACACACACACACACACACACACACACACACACACCCACTCCCACCCCCACCACTGCTGGCCCCCTTGACCTCGCAATGCTGCTGGACCCTTCGCTCCCTCGGACATTCCCAGACCTCCGGAGCCCTCGGGCCACTTAGTCATAACAGACCGAGTTCAGGGCACTGTAACCCGGGGGCACGGCTGCGATAGCTCCGCTCCCACATCCAGACAGACGGACAGACAGACAAGTGAGCTAACCACCTAGACAGGGGTCAGCTACAGGCCACTGCTGAATGTCAGTCAAATAGGGTTCTGTTGAGGAGACTGAATGAAATATAAAAACGGATTCACAAACAGCCATTTGAAATATGCTTTCACAGCTTAACATAATAATATTATTCTCCCAATACTTACCCCAAGGATACTATTTTCTATATTTTGCTTCATGCTGCTGTCTCAGGTTTTGGTCAATATGTCATTTGAGAGCAGGGATTTTCAAATTTGGTCTTCCATCTCAATATAAAGCGTTGAGCACTCTAATACAAGGTGTTGTGAGACATTCTAACAGTATGATTAGGTACGAAAGGGTCAGCCGGGCCTGTTAGACAGGCTGGAACAGAGGGAATGTGCAGCCTGATGCTGGACAGTATTTGGACAGACTGGGACCTTTGTGTAAACAGAGCCTGCCCCTCCTGATTGCCTTGCTGAAAAGCTGCTGAGCAGCCTTTTTAACTTCTTCTTCCAGCCTTGTTTGCACGCTGTATTCAGGAAGAGAATTTTACACTAGTTCAAATTTATGGCGCCCTTTTTGACAAGCTGATTCATAGTAGCCAGTACATACAATACAATAAAATAGAATGCTGATAGTTTTACTGTAAAAGTGATTGTGTGCAATTCAGTGAGCAGCAGCCACCATTATTTACCGGTATTGGGCTGGTGGCTTCTGGTCATTTTCCAGCCTGGTAATCTGACCTGCAGCTGGGAGGGGTGCTGTGTGTGTGTGTGTGTGTGTGTGTGTGTGTGTGTGTGTGTGTGTGTGTGTGTGTGTTGGGGAGTACTGATTAATCAAAGGGACAATGGCATAAGGGGAAAATGCTTTTGGTCAGTTTGGCTTCACCGTGCCTTCATTGCTATAAACACAGTGGGTATGCTCCTTTATTGTCTGTTTTATATTTCACAGAGGTCTCATAAGACATGCAACATTTAATAGTGTTACCTCTGCCATCTCTTGCACCTTGCAAGACCCACAGATGTGTCCATGT